ATCTGAGCACAGGGGCAGGATGTCAGGACTTAGGGAATGATCTCCAGACAAATGGCTTGAGTTCTGTCCTGCACAGACCTCCTCACCTGATAACACATTGGGGTGCAAACCCAGAGAGAGGGTTTGGTCACCCCCCTGAGCACAGCCCCTGGCAGTGTCCTCTGTGTCCATCACAGCCTGACTGCTGTGCCTTTTGCTGACACTCCAGATTTCCCAGGGGGCTTGCAAATGCTAACTAAGGCTTTCCCATTATCAGGGCTTTATTCCCAGCCAGATGAACTCTGGCAGACCATGAAGGCTGTCAGCTCTTGCTGCCAGGGCCCCAGCAGCTCTCTATGGCTCTGGTACTCACCACAGTGCTGCTCATCCGAGGCGTCGGAGCAGTCGTTGATGCCATCACAGTGTTTGCTGGTTGGGATGCAGGTGCCATTGGGGCACTGGAAACCATTGCACTTCTTTTCTGAAATTCAGGATGAAGTGGATGTTGTGTGGGTTTTTTCAAAGCTGGCTTAATTAGCTAAAAAAAGCCATGGCACAGCCCCAGTTGCCTTTGCTCTGTGGCTACTTTTGGAGGGATGGGAATCATCTCCCTGAGTTTGCTGAGGTTTATCTCAGTGTGGGAAATCCCTCCCACCCCATGGCAGAGCCCCCCACACACAGAGCATGTGTTACCACAGTTGGAAGGGTCCTCATCAGAGCCATCCTGGCAGTCGGCGTCGCCGTCGCACGCCCAGCGCTGGGGGATGCAGTGGCCGTTCTGGCACTGGAAGCTGGAGGCCTCACAGGTGTGATATACTGCTGAAACCAGAGCCAGGGGGACACCTGAGTGGGGGTGTCACCGTGTCTCCACTTGAGATGTGGCACATGATGAGTTGGGCCACAATCACCACACACCCTGCTCCTTCCCTCTGCCTGCACCAGGGCTTCATGCCATGGCAGATCATAGAATTTAAGGGTTGGAATGTACCTTACAGATCATCTAGTCCCAACCCTCCCTGCCCTGGGCAGAGACCCCTCCTCACGAGATCAGGTTGCTCAAGGCTCATCCAAACTGGCTGTAAACCCCACCAGGGTTGGGGCAGCCACAGCCTCCCTGGGCACCCTGTGCCAGTGTCTCACCACCCTTACAGTAAAAAGCTTTTTTCTAATATCTAACCTAAACTTCCCCTCCTTCAGTTTGAACCCATTACCCCTTGTCCTATCACTGCAGTTCCTAACACAGAGTCCCTCTCTGGCTCCTTGTAGGCCCTTCAGATATTGAAAAATTGCTCTGAGGTCTCCACACAACCTTCTCTTCTCTAGGCTGAACAGCCCCAACTCCCTCAGCCTGTCCTCACAGGAGATGCTCCAGTCCTCTTAGCAACTTCGTGGCCTCCTCTTGACTTGCTCCAAGAGTTCCATGTCCTTCTTACGCTGAGGACACCAGAACTGTGTGCAGTATTCCAGGTGGGTCTCAGGAGAGCAGAGCAGAGGGGAAGAATCACCTCTTTTGACCTGCTGGATCCTGCACTGAGCAGCTCCAGAGCACAAGCAACCACCCCCCATAGGCCTCAGGTAGGAGAATTCCATGAGTCCATGTTCTCTCTGGGTCACAATATGGATTTTTCCTCTCCATGCAATGCTTGCTCACAAGCCTGCTGTGCCTCAGGGATGACTTTTAAAGGCTACAGCCCTCCCAAAGCTCTCCCAAAGCTCTCCCAAAGTCAGGAGCCTCTCTCTCTTTGATCTCAGTCCTTGGGGTGTGTGGGTAAAGGTGACATTGGTGGCATCTTGCCAGAGATGGTAAGAAATGTCCCAAAGAAGCAGCCTTGGCAGGGTCCCACGTGCAGGGCAGGACAGACTCAGAGACAGCCTTTAATTAAGGCAAACAAGGCTTTTCAGTATTGCCAAAGCAAACTAGAAATACAATTCTCCTTGGGGGTTTTCCTTAGGCTCCTGTCAGGAAAATATCTGCCTGTGGGGTATCTGGGTTGAAGCCTAGTCTGTGTTGTCACTGTGGAGACAAACGCTGCTCTTCAACCAGGAGAGTGCTCAGCATTACTGAGAAAAGCAACCTTCAGCTTAATTAAATTGCATGATACTGAATTTTAGGTTAGAGAGTGACATGCACTTGCAGATATTTCCAAATAGTACATTCTTGTGGCAGTAATATTCTATTAGGTATTCAGCATGAAATGTAATTATTTTAGATAAGAGCAGTAATTGCAGCCAGTGAAGTCAGACAGAATGTTCCTCAAATCATTGTGATCCTCTCAGATAATTTCAACTTTAGGCCTTACAAACCAGATATGCTTTTTTTTATTTTTTTGAAGTAGGTTCCTTTCCTGTAAGTAATTCTCTCTGGAGAAACTCATATGAGAGATAAGTGATACCAATATAAATTAAACCTTCTTACAAGGCCACACTCTCAGAATACTAATGACCAGGATCCCCAGGGCTCTGCTATAACCCCATGTGCTGCAGGCACAGCAGGGTGAGAACACAGGAGCTCAGAGGCCTGAAAGGGATCTCCTAAATCCCCATGCCAGAGCCTCATGGCAGCAGCTGATGCTGCTGTCTGTCCCAGTGGCTTTGGGCTGCAGCCAGAGCAAAGCTGCTGCTGGCACTCCCAGGGCTCCCCCAGCCCCATCAGATCTCTGCCACATGGCATGGAAACCACTGCTTTTATCTGGAAATATCCCATGTATTGCTTTATGAGTACAATCTTGTGTCTTTCACTGATGGACTGACGTGTTGCATGCTCTCAGAAGTCTCTTCTCATGCAAATACTTAGGGTTTTTTCTGCTTGGCTGATTTTGTTGCTTGTTTGTTTTTGTGCTGGTTTGGGCTGGGGTAGAGTTAATTTTCTTCCCAGTGGCTAGTATGGGGCTCTGTGGGATTTGTGCTGAACACAGGGTTGATAATGCAGAGATGTGTTTGTTATTGCTGAGCAGTGATAGCACAGAGCCAAGGACTTTTCTGCTTGCCACACTGGCAAGATAGTTGGGGGTGCAGGGGGAGGTTGGGAGGAGACACAGCCAGTTATTGATCACATCAAAGCACTCACCAGTGCAGTTTGCTTCATCAGACCAGTCCCTGCAATCATTATCACCATCACACATCCAGGAGAGACGGATGCACATCCCTGAGCTGCAGCTGAATTCATCATTCCTGCACTGGTGAGCCTCTGCAAACAAAATATTTGGCACTCAAGGAACAGAGTGGGAGAGATGGATGATAATGGCACAGAAGTCTTCCTGCTGGATCACAGTAAGGGAAAGAACCAACACACAGCCTCACTCTCTTTTCCTGTCCCTCATTTCCCAGTACATGCTGGTCTAGTCTCACATTTCCCAGTAAATGAGGCAGCTGTTAGCCAGGATTAACTGGGGGATCTGGAGCAGCATCTACGAGTAGCATCTTATATGCATCCAGAGGAGTAGCATCTATGAAGAGCACAGATGCTGGAGAGGAGCTTTCCACCCTTGCATGGGGAAGGAGGTTTGAGCTGAGGGCACTCACCACAGTGACTTTCATCGCTGTTGTCCCCACAGTCATCCTCCAGGTCACACTTGTAGGACAGAGGGATGCAGGTCCCTGAGCCCTGGCAGCGGAACTGGGTCTCAGGGTCACACACGGTGGTGGCTAAAGCAGCAGGGAGGGGAAGGAGGAGGAGAAGGAGGTTAAAGTGGTGGTTAGAAAATGTTTTCTGCTGCCTGAGTTGGTGTACTTGGTGCAGGGAACATCTGTCTCTCCTGCACACATTGGCAGTCCCTAATTTTGCCTGGAAAGGTGACCTCCACCTTTAATGTGTGAATTTGATTTATTAGCTAACAGGAGGCTCAGGTCTGCATGAGGCAGCCAGAAAGTCACTTTCTATCTCCA